TGTTTTTGCTGTATACAGTGAATCAATTATGCTGAAGACCTTCAAGAACTTTTGTATGACATCCGCGTCTTTGCTTCTCTTCTCTGTCCGTCTCCTCCTTTCCTGCTGCTCCTCCTTGTCCTTCTCTCCTTCCTCATCAACATGACTGGGGTCATCATCACCCTGTCCCTCACCTCCACTGATCTTAATAGAAATATACATACAGACATATAGATTCCTTGCTTATAGAAGGATGTTGTCTTTGTTTGATAACACATTGCAAACTGTTGTTTATAATGTAGGCTATTAAAAATATATAGCCTAATGTATACGCCTATACATAAATGTATATATAAGTAATTTCAGTATATAATAAATACATTAGCCTCCTAACCATGCACCTGTCACTGCCTGTGGAGGGTCCTGCCACACCTGCTACCTTTCTGCCAAGAAGCCAGTTATTTGGCACGTTTAGCTGCCTCTTGTGCCAACATTTTTTCCTTCTTAATTTTTTTTTTCCGGCACCACACATTTCTTTGTCCTCTTCTGTCTTTTCACCACATTTACCGTGTCTGCAGTGCTTATCACACAACCCAGCACTGAGTTCAGCCTGACAAAATGTTTGGAGATTGAACTCGCCCCCAGATGAAAAGTAAACTCCTTTGGTCATTGCTGTTGAGCCAATTAGATTTCAGCAAAAACAAGGATCAGTCCAAGTTGGGAGGGTCCCACACTGCACCTATTCCCCCTCCATTTAAAAGTATTGGTTTGGCCCAGTGTGATAGACTGATAGAGTTCGCTACAGCTGACTGGCCGGCCTGCGAGGTCGCGGATCATACAGTGAAACATCAGAAAGTGAAAAATAAAAAGTCCTGACCTCGGCGGGTTCGGTCTAAAATAGACCGGCCGTTCAGGAACACTCCCTAATGCCACAATGGCCAGTCTGACCCTGTCTGTTCCCATCTCTCTGACTGCCACCATCGGCCTGTAAACCTTTCATATCACTAAATCTCTGAAATCTTCTGCCCTGCCTGCTCTTTTTGCATTTGGGTCCAATCCTGCATTTATGAGCTGTGACAAAACTATGTTTATTTACAGTCAAGTGTTACTCACCAAAACAAAACATCATTGAGGTCTAGCAATATACCTGACTGCGGCACCCTCTTTATAAAATCTGTGATCTTTTACACAGATCAGTGGGATAGTGTTTTTATTCATGAATTTTTTGCATTAACCACATGTGCTTGCATGAGAAAAACACAGGGACCAACATGTACAAAAAAAAAAACTTACAAACTTCACAGGATGTCACACTGTGGGCGTGTCTGTTCTGCTTTGTTCATTTAGTTCTCAGTCAGTCCTGTTATTTGTAGTCCATTTACTCCTGGTCCGTGTACTTCAGTGTTATTTTGATCTGTTCAGTGTCTGTCTTAGAGTTGTTGAGTTTTGGGTTCGGTCTTGTCTGTTTTGTCCAGTATCCGTTATATAGTCTGTTGTGTCTTGGTATTTCCCTTATTTACTGTTCTGTTCCATGTTTAGGGTTGTCCTGTTCCCTAGTCGGTTCCGTCTCTGTTCCCTACTGTATTCTGTTAGTCAGTTGTCATGTTTCTGTTTTGAGGTTTGGTTCCTGGTCTTGTGTACTCTGTGCCCTGTGTCTTAGCTCCTGCATCTCGGCCCCTAGTTCTGTGTCTCAGTTCATGTCTTAGTGTTTACTTTTGGTCTGTGTCTGTGTACCTGTGTATATTCCTCTGATCTGTAACCTGTTTTCTGACTGTTCCTCCAGTATCCCTCTGCCTGGCTGTCTCTCTGTTTTCCCCTGCTCTCTCCCTGCCTGCCTGTGTCTCGTTAGGCTCATGTCTGTCACCTGTGTTACTCCCGCCTTGCTCGTTAGTCCCTGGTGTTTATATGTTTGCTGTTTCTCTTCAGTCCCTGTCTTGCAGTGTTTTGTTGCATGTAGATGCTCTGGCTGTCGTTGTGTTTTTTTTGGGATATCTGCCTGTACCTTTGTCTGCAAGTATTTTGGATTTGTGTTTCCCCCATGCCCTTGTGAATTCTCCATTGGACTCAGCCACTGCCTGTAAGTGTGCTCGCTTTTGGGTTTTTTTTAACTGTGTGTCCTGCATTTGGGTCCTCCAACCTGCCTCACCACACAACCTCTGACACAGGACAACTTATGTTCCCAATACAAGACAAAAATCTCTCTCTCTCTCTCCCCCCCAGCCTCTTACCCAGATTACTTTTTGCCCCTGATGATATGCGTGCCCTCGGTTCTTGTGCTGTTGGCTGTTTCTCTGCTGATCATCTACAAATGGAAGACCAAGAGGAACACTGGTTTGAACAACAGAGGAAATGCACACCGTGTACAGATGGAGGTGACTAACTTTAACTTGTTTTCTCTCTGTTTACATGGATTTCAATGGTTAAGAATGAGAACTTGGAGCGGAACAGTGTGGCTCTGTGGATTGTCATGAAATGTAGTTCTGCACAAACCTGAATCCTATTAGCTCTGACTTTTCATCTAGAGCACCAGCACCTTAAACCAACACACTTAGTCAAACTGGACAGAAACAAAATAACCAAAACAATCTTCGTCTGTGTTTACACTGTTCCACTCTGGTTTGGTTGAAATAATAAACCCTTAATTCATTGAAATATTCTGTCTCTACGCCTCAGCAAGCAGCCACATAACAGGCTGCAATGGCTGGTGGGGTCAAATGCTCCCGTCAAAGTATGTCCACTAAAAAGAGCTTTTTTTGCAAGAGACAGGATTGTTTTGTTAAGTGTCAAGAGTGAGAAGATTATGGAAATGAGCCATGCAGAGAAACATTTTACAGAAGACATTAAACTGTAATACCCTTTTTCTTTAACTGGAAAAGAAAAATAACTTTAATTTTACCTTGCAGATCATCGTTAAACTCACTTTATTCATATTGGACACAAATAAAACTCACCAAAACTGTCTTTTTATCTTTGCACTGTTCGGCAATCACCAAAATGGTGTGGTTGAAATTATTTCTTGATTCACTGTGTTAGATCAGATAAGAAAAGGCCATTGAGTCAATGTCATCAGTTTCACAGTGAGTGACTCACATGCAATAACAAGCATGCACAGCCATCGGCTACCAAAGAAGAGAACGGAGAAGCTCGACGAGAACACAGACCACAGGGGTGTGATACAATTCTCTGCTCAGGATGTCATTGCTTTACTATATGTATACACAACAAATAGAGGTTTGCTGGTCTATTAATGTTCAGAATCTCATACTGAACCATTAAGGTGTCTTCAGGCAGAGTAAATGTATCTTGTTTGTTTATCTGTTGGTTGTATATGTTTTTTGCTGTTTTACCTTCTTTTTTTTTTTTAACACAAATCTTTGTTTTCAGTTCTTTGTATAAATTATTGATTGTACTCCTTTTTATTCTGGTCTTATTGTGGTCCAATTTCCATGGAATTTCATTTCCTTAAACTGTTTCTTGCTCCAAAAGTGCAATATAAATTTTAGATGTTTTTTCAGGTCTCTGGACATTTCAGTTGTCACTGACACATTAAAAACAAACAATTACCTAGGAATAACTAATGGCTGGTCTGTTAGTCTGGCTGCTGCTGTATTTCAGGTTTGATGTTCTTGTTTTATTTCCAGGTGTCGTCATCTATGACGACATAAACAACGCCACAAATGAAGACTCCATCTACCAGAACTAACAGGGGGAGGGACCAAACCCACTGTAGATCTCTAGCTCTAGACTCACTATAGCAAAAAAAGTAGATCCCATCACTCAGTTCTGAGGTCTTTACACTGGCTTTCTGTCTGTCAGAGAATTGATTTTGAAATACTTAGGTTTAGCACTTTGAGATTTGTTTCAAATGCAAAGTGCATTACAAATAAAATGCACTAAATGGGTTGAGGCCAAAATACATTTCTAATCTTCTGTGACATTATGAACCATCCAGATCTCTCAGGTTGTCGGAGACAGGTCTGCTTTCTGTCCCAGTGTCAAAACGAATGTTCACATATGTCAACATGGTTTTATGGCTATACCCTTGGAGGGTTATCGTCACGTGGTTACAGGTTCACTGAATTAAATAAAACTAAACGTGAAGCAGCACCGTTCCGTTTTTATGCTCCATATATCTTCAACAACCTCCCAGAAAACTGCAGGTCTGTTGAAACACTCTAGTCTTTTAATTTAAAAGACTTTAGTTTGCCGCTGCTTGTAATTATCGAAATATAAGGCGTTTGATTAATATTACACTACACACCAACTCTTACTTTCCTGTTTCATCTTGTTTTTGTATTTACCTCCCTTTTTTTTAATATTTCCATATGTCCATATGTTGATTTTGCATTTATTGTAAAGCACTTTGAATGTACTATAAAAATAAACTGGCTTTGCCTAGATTTATTGAAATGGTGATGTCTTTTTTACTATGTAGCTTATAATGCGCTGCGAAGTTCCAGTTTGTTCACTGCTCCCAAATGGAAGTTGAGATGGTGGTGGTGGGGGTTTTTTTCTGCAACTAGCCAACTAATGAATAGTTGGTCGATTAAGACTCTTCTCATTGACTAATGGTTTAGTCGACTATTTGTAAACTAAATTTTAAACCAAAAAAATGTGTGGCCTTGAAGGTCCTGACCAGAATCTTGAAGTCAATGCAGTATTTAACTGGGAGGCAATGAAGCTGCTGAAGGAGAGGAGTGATATGATACGGGCAGCAGAGTTCTGAACCAGTTGAAGTTTATGTATGAATTTGAGAGGAAGACCAACAAGAGAGATGGTGAAGTATGCAGACCGAGTGACATTATTAATGTGACCTTGAAATGAAAGTGTGATTTGACTTCCATTAGGCAATCAGAGAGGGAGGTAGGTGGGTATAGCCACACTGGTCATAAATGAGTCCACGCTTCTTACTGATTTCCACATTCACATTCATTCTTTTCTGAAGTAGAAGTCCGTCTTTATAGCATAAGGCTCATGGTCACCTCCAGTGATGACCTCTAGTGGTGCCAGGGCTCTGGAGCAATCGTAACCAATCAAAAGTCCCACTCCACTCCACAGCGGAAGAGTTTTTCAAAAACTTTTGCAACTGTACAAATGATATATAGGTCTATAATTATTATGGTCAAGAGAATTGCCGCCTTTATGTAAGGGAATCACTTTTGCAAATTTCCAAACATATGGTATTTCACTAGTAGACAAAGAAAGGTTAAATAGGTCTGCTAGAGGGTACATCAATATATGAGCAGCCCATTTCATACATTTTGCCTCCAGTCCATCCAAACCTGGACCTTTGTTAGACTTTAAATTGGTGATAACAGATAATACTTCAGTTGGTTCAATTTTCCTGAAACTAAAATTATTCTTTCTCTGGTGTTGAATATAATCAGAGGCATAATGATCAGATTCACAAAAAGCCAGCGTTGAGCCAACAGAAGTGAAATGTTGGTTGAAAACATCAGCAATATCTAAAGGATCTTGAATGATGTGATCTTTGAACTTTATCTGATGAATTCTGATTTGTAGATTTATTGAGAAGGTCATTTGCCTTTCTCCAGAACTGTCTTGGATTTTATAATGTTTGGAATGACTGTCTGCATAATAAGCTGCTTTAGCATTCCAGCCTTCCAGAGCAGACCTTGCCTTCTGCACCAATGGAAATGTCTCTATTTTTATAAAGGGAGGCACAAAATTCACGTGGCAGGTGACAATTCACAATAATAAAATAGCATATTATACAGTAATCAGTAGCTTATTATTATTTTTGGTTTAAGTTACTTTTTTGAAAATGCAGATATTTCTTTCACATTTACATTGCATTGCATGTTTTCTTATTGTGCAAATAAACCTTTCTCATATCATTTTTATTTGTTAATCAACATTTCTTGGTGCAAGCTATTTTTCAGCACATTTTTAACAAATGCTTTCAAAAAGTGGTGGCTACATGTCCCCAGCGTCCCCTGTGTAGATGACCCTCCCTCACTGCCCCCCTCCCTACAGCCTCGGCCCTGTCACTTTGTCACTCGCTAACACACGCCTCCTCCTCTGCCTGGCAGTGGCCACAACTCTACTCCTTCAAGTGCCTGTGCCTGCACTACGTCGGGTACCACAGCTGATGTTGAAGCTACCCATAATGCAAGAAAAAGAGAGCAGAGGGGGTGGGGGCTAGTATGTAAGATGTATTATAATTGCATTACGAAACGACTTTGTCGTCATAAAGGTTGCGCATGAGTTACTTCCGGCGTTGTCATGGAAACAGATTAGCAGAAATGGATGTTAAATTTATGAAACATATGGCCAAGAGGAAGCAGATAGATGAAGAGTAGGAGGGTCCCAGGACAGAGCTCTGGGGAACACCTGTAGTGACAGGGGATAGCTCTGATTTGAAGAAAGGAAGATTGTTAGAATTATCAATAAAAGACAGAGCATGGCTGTGCACCACCTGACATAATGTTAGAGGCAAGCAGGCAAGAATTTTGACATAACTATACCACCGCATTGCTGTACCAGAGAAGAAGTCAGACAGCCATGCCAACAACAACGGTTGGTTATACAAATTAATATTTTTTCACTTGATTTGAAGAAGTAGTTTATTCAATATATTACTGGGTCTAGTGACATTAATTTTGGTCTGTTGCCAAGTGAGGTCAGAATATTTGCCTATAGCATTTGACTATTGCACACCAGCCAAAATTCCAATGAACATACAAAATGCTCAATGAGAAGCTCTGTTTACTCTAGTCTACAAGCCTCATCTGTCCACTGAAAATGTTTTGCATAATTGTGCTGTCATTCCCACCCCACTGTAACAGTAGTAGTAATTGTGTTCTTAGTTTTTGACAATCCAGTGTAACAACTTACCTGCCGATGGGGCAAATTGTCATAAGTGCACTATTCAACAGCCTACAACTCCATAATGAGATAAGATAAGATGTAATGAAAACAAATTATCTGCCCAAGAATCCCTTCCTTCCTTTGGTATGACATCCAATGTGTGAAGGATGGTGCCCAGTAATGTTAGACAGTGTGAAAAGTATGACAACATAAAATGCATGACAAAACTTAGACTAAAATATCACTGATAAAAACTAGACTAAAATGTCCTGCTGACTAAAATTTGACTAAAACTAAGAAACATTTTCATCAAAAGCCTAAAACCAACACTGCTCTAAGTGATCCAAATTGTTTTCTCAACATTAAATCAACATTAAATTCAAACTGACCAAGGCTGTTAACATTCATTTCACGTCACCTCTGGTCCTGAGAATGTGTGATAGTTCACAATTTACTTACTTTATAGACAAAAAAATCCAGTTTTCCTTCACAGCCCCTGGCTCTGTGAATGGAACACAAACTAAGTGGCTTGGAGCATTGTTCCAGCTAATCAGCAACAGGTGGCGGTAGCGTGCTTGTGAGAGCAGAAGGGCTCTGGGAGAGAGAAAGTTGCCAACACTGGTACATTCAAACATTCTGGAATTATTATGGGACTCTGGGCTCTGTGCACAAGGAGAGATGTCTGAGAAACAGCCGAAGAGGAAAAGGTCTGAAGAGTAGAAAAACAAGTTTAAGGGAGAAGTTCACTTAAAGCATCTTTGTGTCCATGCAACAGGTTCTTGTATCTCTACATGTGGAGTGAAGCTGCGGAACAGTAAAAGCAGTGCCCGAGCATGACCCAGTTTAAAAAGTGGTGCAAAAACGGGGGCTCTGACCAGGTGTTCACACAGATTGTTATTTTATTTGTTTGTTTATGTTATTTACTTTCTATGGTGAATATATACATATGTAAATATGTTTGTTTTCTTATTTGGTGTAACTATAAGTATGAAGACAGGATGTTATATATAAAGCCAATGTAATGATTATTAATGAGTGATGGAGAAGGTGTAGGATTAAATAAGCTCGTCCTTCTTATTCCTTTTTTGTCATGTTTATATTATATTTTCTTCACATGTTTAAAATAAAACCTTCATTCAAGTTATATGGCAAGGGCGAAGACCTGTGTTAACATCAGTGAGGCGTTTGACTTTCTGCTTTGGCAACATGTTAGAACCACAAGATCATGCCAATAAAGCCAACTGAATTGAACTGGTGTCTCTTTCTCTTTGTATAAGAGCTCTTCCCTGTTTCACGCACTGTGACTCATAAGTTTTGTTGGCTATTTTCAAAATGTATCTCATAAACACACGACATCAGCAGCATTTAACCAGGCGTTTAACCTACTGAAAGTTTGTTACATTTAATTCTGTGGTTTAGGTAATGCTGATGTTTTTAAAGTAACTTCAATCAGATGTATTTTTACCACACGTCAAAGCAGCCGCATCATGAAGTTCATACTCCAACATGCTCATTCATTTAATATATTTTAAGTGTGCACCTTATTATGCAAAATCAAGATCGGACACATTATGTCTGCCCTGAGAATTAACTTAACCACGTGGACCCTGGCACCTATTTCTAGGAAAAAACGCCTAAAATAACATACCCAAAAGAAATCAGTAATATCTCCTCAACCATTAGGTTAAATAATTCTGGTCTCCTTTAAAAGGTCAGAAGCTGAGGAATATAAATCCACT